ATCGGGCCATGTCGTGCAACTGAACCGGCTGGGGAGCGGAGGCCTTGGCGTACTGCTGAGCAAGAGCGTAGACGGCATTGTAGTCCATGCTCGGGCGCGACAGATCAAAGATGGTGTCATCCTCTTCGATGCTGACGACAGGCGTGAGATCGGCGTGGTCGTGATCCGAGCCGGAGCTGGAGCTGGAGCTGGAGATGCACAGAGAGGGCAGCTCCGGCGACTTGTTGCCCAGCACCACGTTCGTCCTCGTTCCGAAGGAGCTGTGCGTGTCCACCGAGGGGGTAGAGATTCCGAACAAGGGCGGCATCTTGGCGACACTGTCGAGCACAGGTGACAAGAGAGCGCGCAATCGGCTGGACTCGCCCGAGTCCGAGTCCTCGGAGAAGCGCGAGACCAGCTCTGTCGTTGCTTCGTCACGAGCCGCAGAGTGGCCGGCAGTGAGCTTGACGGCGGTGGAGCTCTTGAAGGCGGCATCCCAGGTGGCGCCTCCCGTGCGAGACGAAGAGCGCTTGTGATTGCGACGTGCCAGCTTCGAGTCGAGCGACAGTCCTGCTTCGAGACTCTTCAGAGCAGCGACCGTATCAAGCTTGGGCGTGGCAGGCGCGGAACGCGGAGAAGAGAATGCCGAGTCACTGAGGACGGGCGATGGCATGGGCGAGACCGTGCCCTGGCGGCTGTAGCGCTTCTTAACCTGGTCAGTCTTGCGGAGAACTGCTTCGGTGGGGGGTTGGGCAGGTCGAGGCGGGAGGGGCCCGAGAGACTGAGGCGCAGACCCGCTGCGAGAGTGCGAGCGGGCGCGTTGATGCGTCTCCACGGACGCTTGCGGGGCTGTCCGCTGACTCGCACTCCTCGCGTGCATCTTCGGTGGACAGTAGCTACCCTGAGAGCTTTTGCATCTTGCCATGCTGACAGCCTCGAGCTGCGGCGCGGGCATCTCGCACAGGTTGGTGATCATCTGTGCATCGATTTCGTCGAGACTCGAGCGCTTCGTAGCGGCCAGAGTGTCTGGAGCGGGAGGTGATTCCAATCGCTCCGGCAATGCTGGCGCCTCCTCGGAAATGGAGGGAGTCGGCAGGTTGTCCAACCAGCTCGCCGAGGAGCGGCTCGATCCAGGAGAAGAGCTGAGCAGCAGTGGGGAAGTGGGCAATTCGGGGAGGTTCTTGGATCTGGGTAGTGCGGCGATGACGAACACCTCGTTCGAAACCACGACAAGCTTAGGCAGTTCAGGCACTGGCGGAACGGAACTTCCCCCGAAGCGCGAGTTGGTCGAGTTTCTTGCAAGCGACTGTCTTGAACGCGGATAGCTAGGAATCGACTTCTCGTCGAAGGAGACCTTGGAGCTAAGGCCCGGAAGAGCAAAGGCGGGGGCTTTGGACGTGCGCGGCGTTGAAGGCGCTGAGCGCGTGTCCCTTTCTTCACGTGGCAGCGGCGTTGAGAAGAGGTCAAAAGCGCGACGGCTCGAGCCTTCCTCGCTGGGGTTCACCGCGAGCGTAACGGTGGATCGAGAGGCAAGACTGGCTGTCGAGCTGCTCGGCACGTCACTCGAGAATCGGGGCTTGCCGAGCGAGAGACGACGCAGCACGTTGCGCTTTGACTTCTTTTCGGCTCGCGCCGAAGCGGCGGCAGACGGCAGCGACAGGACCGATGAACCGAAGCTGTGCATGTTGCAAGCAGGCGATAGCGTTTAAGGTAGAGTCCGCACGAGGGGGATGTAGCTGCTTGCGTCCGGACGATGGCGCTCGTTGGTAGTGGATGATGATAGAGAGGAGCCAAGGATGTGTCTGTATCAATGCAGGCAAATGTGTGGCTGCGTCCAAGTCAAGGATAAGGGTGGGAGCGGGGGTGGTCCTAGTCGGAAGCAGAGTGAGGTCAGAAGTGGGGGGTCGTATATGAGGTTGGGACAGATGAGGAGGCGCTAGTGTGGGTTTGGGGGCGATGGCGGCTAAGGCAGGGCGAACTTACTAGAGTCTGGCGGCGGCTGTTCTCTAGTGCCGTGGCGATCCGGCTGAGCTGCTACTGCCCAAGAGACGAACCGAGCGGATGAGCCTGCTACCAGAACCGCTAAGAAATGGCAGGAGGGGACGCCGATAAGCCCGGACGCTTGGCTGACGAGGGCCTGGGCAGAGCAGCGAGAATCAAGTGCTAGGCCTGACGGCAGGCAGGGCCAAAGGATTGCGATTTGCCCGTCTGGAAGGAATCTGTTTGTAGTTGCAAGCTGCGGTGAGACAGAGACTCGGAGGCCGAGGATGTGAGCCTGTTTGTAGGCGCAGGATGATTGCTCCGCGAGACAATGTCCGTCGGACAGTAGCCGATGGGAGCCAGCTACTGCTGCTGAGGCAGAGTGACGCCGGGCAAGAGGGTCCAAGCTGTCGGAAGGGTGAGACACACTGAGGGCGAGGCGAAGAGAGTACCCGAGCGTTGGAAGAGCGGCTTGAGAGCGTGATGAAGGGGCCGGCGCCGAACGTGCTCGATGCTGCCATGTCTCAGACGCAACGAGGCAAGACCGCCCTGCATTTGAAGCACTCGCACCGCGCAGAAGGTTCACACCGCGGCATCGGCTCGGCCGCTCCAGCCAGAGATCCTCTTTGCCTGATCCACCTCTTGTCCTGGTGATGACTGCACACAGATACCCACAGCATCATGGGCCGATCGAGCGCAGGCGATCAATCCATCGAAAAGAGGTGATGTACGGAGGCGTTTGGGAGCGCAGTCGAGGTGCAGTGCATGACCGAGCAGACCTGGACAGGCCCAGACCGGCAGACGCCGACGGCGGCTCGAAGAAGCGGCAGAGCGCGACCGCTCAGCGCAAGAGCAAGATCGTTCGAACGGGCTTGAACTCGCTGGCTTTCATTTCGGCTGCATTGGCTTGAGCTCAGTCACTCTCGCAGCGGTACTGGCGCAGAGATGCAGGCAGAGGCGCAAGTTCAAGGGCCCTGCGTCTTCAGAAGCTTGCCCCAGAGAGGCAGGGCGGCAGGAACCGACTCGCAGGCAGACGCGCGTGGGCGTGCAGCTGAAATCCAGAACCCTCTCCAAAAAAACGCGGCTCAGGCAGGCCCTCCTCGCCCAGATGTCTCAGCGCCGGCGAACGATTTGCATGGCTCTGCAGCCTCGCTCGCCCTGGACTGGAATTTTGACAGTCGGAGACGCCAGTCAACAAACACTCTTGCTCGCTTGTCGGCAAGCTCGGCTCTACGTTTCTCGAGTCGCTCCGGTCTCGCGTCTGCCCTCAGCCATCTGCGCAACCCACGATCTACCGGTCGTCCGCATGGCGCTTTACGTCAACAGGATTCAGATGATTGACCCGCCTCGCCTCTATGAGCACGGAAGAAAATGCATTCTCACAACACAGCGATGCGTTCAAAGGAATAGATCTCTCGCCATCGCTTCGGTATGAAGGTGAGTTGCTCTGGCATCGGTGGGCGGGAGATCATCAGTCGCTCGAGCGTGATGCCAAGCGGACCGGAGCCGCGAGAGCGCATCCAGATTGCCGTGGCCGAGACATCTGTTTTTTTTTCTCGCTTCTCCTCGCTCTTCCCATGAAAGCGCACGCGCCACTTGGATTTTATGGGCGCTTCCGATTCCGCACACGCTGCCGAGAAGGCGCCAAAAATTCACACCGGCGATTTTGAGCCGCTCCTCCCGTCTCGGGTCGCGGTTCTTCCGATACATCGTCTTTCCCTCGCTTCTCCGTTGCCTTGAGTGACCTGGGCAGTACTTGGTCCATGATGCAATAAGCCAGAACGTGATCAAAGGACCTGTGCTGTCGTGGAGGTCTGATTACGAGTCCAAGTGCTGAGCTATCCACATCGGCGCTATAGCTAGCCTAGGAGTCCAGTGCGTCTGAGCGAGGACCGTGCGCAAGCGCAGATGAGCCCAGTCGCTATGGCGGCCCATCGGCGATGCAGATTGGGTGCATGTCGGCTGCCAATCCGTGCAGACAGCAAGGCCGGGACCCTGAGTCCACAAGCTTCGCCCTGCCGTGACTACCTCGACCCTTGTAGAGCGACGCATGCACAACGTGCATCACGTTCAGACAGGTTGGTGACGCCCAGCTATCAGTTTCGACACGGCGGAGCCTTGCACTTTCTGTCGGAGGAGGAAAACATCACTGTCGCCCTTGGGCTCACGGAACTCTAGTTCAACCGAGATCCGCCTGATCCCCAGGGCCATGCTAGTAAGGGTAACTTAGCGGGCTACCAAGCTCAAGGCCCGATCACTCAGCAAGAGATGAACTCATCGCCGCGGTCAATGCTTTGAAGGGCAGGGCATGAAACTGCCAATCGCTCTGAAACCGGCTGACTGCCTCCGTTCTGTTTGCAGGTCTTGGGGCACCAGAGACATTTTTATGCTCTGCCTGGATTTCAAATATTTGTTGCCGGTCCGACTCGACAGCAGAGCGCGCGCGCAGAGCAGAGCCGGCAGCCCGCGGTTCGCCGACGCAGCGTCCTCACGCACAGCTGGGTGAGACATTTTCTAGCCTCCCCAAGCTCCAGCCTCCGACCCGTCCACATGCCAGGGTTCGCTGAGAGCCTGTAGCCGCCATCAAACGCCGCTGTCCATTCAAGTTGGAATCGTCACAGCCCACCGGCCTTCGCTCTGTCGCTCTGTCGATTCCACATGTTGGCACCGCTGGGCGCAAATGCCGCTAAGAGGCGCACGCCAAGCGGACCTTGGATAAGAACCGGAGCCCGGCCCGATTGTGCTCCAGGAGGAGGCAGGTCTCATCCCCAGCCCGGGTTCCTTTTCAGGCGGTATGAGCAACACAGATGCTGCGGACTTTGGTTCTTTATCGATGAGATTCATCATGACCAGCACCGGTCTTCAAGCTGGCTGATATTAATAATGCTGGCCGATGAAGCTCGCTTTGGGGCCGGCATCGTGCCTCGAGTCCAGCTCCATGCTTCTCGGAACGCAGCCACATTGATAGCACGCCGCGGCTGATGTCCACTAGCCGCTCTGTTGTCTCCAGCGCCCGACCTCGGGACCAGTGCGACGGCTATCTATTCGGTTGCTGTTGCTGAGCTGCTCGAGGCGTGCCGTTGCCTCTTACTCGACCGACCGCGACTGCCTTCAGCTGTCGCTGTGGATCGATCGGAAGATGTCAATGCATTCGTCGACGATCTTTGCGGCCGACGCTTGCCACGGCCAAGTGCCGGACCTGAGCCTGCACCGTGTTGAGGCTGCTGCTGCTCTGCAGATTTGGAATCCTTGGAGGCATCTTTGACCTTGCGTGACGAAAGCCACGCTGCTTCGTCCTCGGTCTCGCTGGAATCCGCCGACGCATCCTCCCCTGGCGCAGAGTCGCCCTTCATTTTGCCGCTCTCTTCCCTCGGATCGTCGACGGGCTTTCCGATCGTGAGCCGAAGCCCCAGAATTCCGCTCTTCTCCCGGCCGTTGAAGCCTCCTTTGATCTTGGCGCGGCACACGGGGCATTGACCCGCAAGCGGATCTGGCTTGGATCGTCCTCTACCTCCAGAAGCGCCTCCGCCGCGTCCGCCACGTCCACGTCCAGCGCTTGTAGCGCCTACTGCCCCTGCGCTTCGTCCAGAGGGAGATACCGCCTCGGAGAAAGCCTCGCGGTCGATCGGGAACGCGTCCGGTGCGAACAAGCCGCCGAATCGCAGAAAAGACTGCTCTTCCTCCATCGCCCCTCGCTGCACCGCCTGGGTCTTGAGCGCCTGGAACAGGCATCCTCCGCAGAAGAAGTGGCCGCATGGAGTGACGGACAAGTTCGTCGGCGCATCAAAGCAGATCGGGCAGGTGTACTTTGAAAGCAGCGGGTGCTCGATTGGCGGAGGCTTCGAGCGTGGCGGCGACTTTGTCGGCATGGCCAAGTTGGATGAACGCAGCCGCATATCGGTGATCGGATGCTCGCTTCGGGCGGGAGGCGGAGCGGGAGCGGGCCGGGCCGCCGTGCGTGCTGAAAGTATGGAGAAGCTGGAATCGTCGTCCGACTGCGAAATCGATCGATCGGATCGAACGATCGGCATGGGTCGGGTGAGGAAGTCGCCGGTACTGGGATCGACACTGAGGCCGACATTCCGGCCAGATCGGACGTGGCTGAAGAGGAAAGGTTCAGCAGGCGGTCCATTCATCGCGGGAGGTGAGAATAGATTGCTGCGCTCTGTCGGCGGAGCGGCCCGGGCACGTCTGATGCTTGACACCTCCACAAAGTCGTTCGCCCGCGACGTAGAACTCGGACGGGGGACAAACGCTGGCCCTACCGGGACGACATCGTCGTCGTCAGAGCTATCGCTGCTGATTTCGACAACAATGTTGGGATCGACCGCTCGCATGGGATGACGTTGCGGAGAAGTCGAGCTGCGCGTCCTCGACGGGCCAGGTGCAAGCGACGACCGGCGAGACGAAGTCCTGCTGCGGCTGCGGCCTGCACCGTCTTGTGGCGGCGTCGGCGAGTTCGAGCGGCTATGAGGCGCGGAAGAGTACACGCTTTGGTTCCTCGACGATGATCTGCTTGACGAACGGGAACCACCGACCACAGTGGGCCGCGGAAGCGGATCCTCAAGCTGCGTGGAGCTTGGCGTTGATGTAGTCGAGCTAGGCATGGTGGTCCTTTGTCTCGCGGAGCACGCGCTACTGCGGCGACAGGTCTGTCAGAGCCCCGTGTTGCGTGAGAATCTCAGAGGAGCGAGTCTTCGTAAGGTTGTTGTGCCAATACGGCGCTCGTGATCAGAGCGAGTAAAATGGCTTCGAGAACTGGGGCAAGCGGGCTGGAAGCTCGCCACGTAGCGGGCGGTGCGGCAAGCCTCTGACCCAGGCGAAGTCAGATTAAGTTGTACGATGACAACTCTGCAGGCCAAGACGATGGCCGAGACGAAGATACGATGTATAGTGTCTAGTGAGGGGTGGCGCAGCGAAGGGCCGCTTCGGAAGATGATGCGAAGGCGGATACCGAAGCGGCAGGGTTCTGACAATACAGGGTCGACTGAGCCTTGCGGGCGGTTTCGAGGCAATGAGCACCCGCATTGAACCAGCGGGCCACCAAAATTCCGCAACCAACACCTCCACACATGCGCATCAATCGGGATCGGGATGCGTTGGCACTATTTTGCCCGATCGAAACTGACCCGCTCGAGGATTCCTTCACTTGCTGATCTGTACAGGAAGCCCATCCCACCAGATTGCGCACGGCGACAAATCTTTCGACAGCACATGGTCGGCGGAACGTTATGCCAGATCGTTACACGGACAACAACCGGCTCGATGCCGCTTCTGAAACCCGAGGACCCTCAGATACACAGCCTCGGTTTAAAAGAAGATTCTCCACACTGCGCTTCGCTTAGCACCATTGCGGACGGCGTGAAGTACACAGCGCGTGAGCACCACGTTCTCAAGGCGTGCGTTGTAGGACGGCCGCCACCCCCAGCGAGGCAGCACTGCAGGGAGGGAAAAGGCTTGGCAAAACGTGTGAGCAGACTCCGCTTCATGAGCCAGGTTTGCCAAGCTTTTTTTGAATCGGGCCGCGCTCTTGCGAGCTGTCACACTCGAGCCGCCGCCTTGGGCGGCCTTGTCTACGGCGATGGCGTGGCTCGAAAATAGATTCCGTGTGAGGCCTTGGTTTGAGGCCGTGCCTCGCTGAGGAAATAGGAAGCTGGCGGAGGATGGCTCAAGAATCCCGCCAGCTTGTCGCTCATGCGGGCTGTGCATGCTTTGCTCGGACTCGGCGCCCAAGCGCACCCTTTTTTTCTTTTTGCCAATTTCCACCAGCGGGAAGTCACTGTCCAGCCCCACGCGACGGGTGGATTGGGCCATGACGATGTGGTGCGGAACACAGCCTGCAAAGTGCGTAATTTCCAGCCTCTCCTCGTTGGCTGCCTGCTCGCTCGCTCACTCAACCGCCCACTCGCGACTGCGCATGGACCCGCATTATTTCGTGTGAGCACTGCGGTTTGGCGAGCCGGTGTCCGCAACGACATCCTTCTTCCTTTCCCGCAACGTACGCAGCAATTCGCACGACGTCCACCAGCATCCTTTCGATCACCCGTGCTGTCATCGACGACCATCAACGCTAATCATCATGGGCAAGAACCAGTCCAAGCTGTCGCCCGAGCAGCTCTCGGATCTGCAGAAGAACACATACTGTAAGTTGGCGAGCAGCGGCTTTGGATGCCGAACAAGACCGCAGATTGAGAGCTTACCCTGAACCTATATGTGGTTTCAACGATACTCTGTAATCGTTGACTCTGGAAAATACCGCAGTTGACAGGAAGGAGCTGCAGCAATGGTACAAGGGCTTCCTTAAGGACTGCCCCTCTGGCATGCTCGACAAGCAGGAGTTCTGCCGCATCTACAAGCAATTCTTCCCCTTTGGCGATCCGTCGACATTCGCGGAATACGTATTCAATGTCTTTGACGAGAACAAAAACGGCACGATCGACTTCAAGGAGTTCATCTGTGCACTCAGCGTGACCTCGCGAGGAAGGCTCGACGAGAAGCTCCGCTGGGCTTTCCAGCTCTACGACATTGACGGTGACGGCACCATCACGTACGATGAGATGCTCAGTAAGTCTTCAGAGGCTCAAACATATGATGACTGCTCGTAGCACCTCGCTGACGTCCGACTTGCATGTCCACTCCTGCTTTTGCTGCTTGCGACAGCTATCGTCAGGAGCATCTACAAGATGACCGGCCAGATGGTCAAGCTCCCAGAGGACGAGGATACACCCGAAAAGGTGAGTGGCTTGCAGAAGAGCAAAGTCTATGGACTCAGACCAGCATACTCAACGTCTCTGTCGCCTCCCTTTCTCTCGCGACGTTTGACGATAACAGAGGGTGGACAAGATCTTCCGCATGATGGATCGCGACAAGAACGCCCAGCGTAAGTGCTCAAAGTGCCCTTCTTCGTCCCTGTATTTCGCCAGACCCTGCCTTCTACCCGTGCTCAGTGCCGCTGACCCGAATGCACCCCATCTCTTCGCACACACAGTCTCTTTCGAGGAATTCCAGGAAGGAAGCAAGCAGGACCCCACCATCGTTCAGGCGCTCTCGCTCTACGACGGCCTCGTCTAATACACGCGAAACGATCCCTCTTGTACATACACTCGCTCGGCAGCCTGCTCACAATTGACTCTGGGAAAGCAGACGTGGAGGGTCTGGGGGAGGCAGTGTTGAGCGCCGGAAGAGCTTGAGGGCAAGTTGAGCCCGATCGTCGTGTTGTTAGGGTGCCAAGCGGTAACAAGTTTATATGAGTCAAAATTCTCTCGGCCCGTAGGCTGGTAGGCAGGCGGGCGGGTACGGCGCGCTGGCTTGAGAGCGGCTTTGGCCCCGGCTGACCCGCTGAGGCGATTTCACGCGGCTGGTCGCTTTTGTAAGAGCCCGACAACCGACTCACCCGAAGACTCGGCGGGTTGGAGGGAGCTCGTCAAAGCCGCGTCGCTCCACCCCGGAATCGGCATCGCCTGCACTTGTCCAAGGCCGCAATCCCGACCAGCTGCGAGCTTGAATCCTTCCTCTCATCCAAATCTATCGGAACTTCTTCCATCCCTACTCCATCCACAGACTCCAATCATGCGCGCATCTCTAGTCAACCAGCTCCGGGTGCTCGTGCCCATCAAGAGGACGATCGACTATGGTGAGTGTTGTAACCGGTCGTCAGCCATTCGACTTTGAACCTTCCAAAGCGTTCCCCACAGACGTTGACGATCGCCGACCTTGCTTCTTGTTCTGCGCTACAAACAGCCGTCAAGATCCGTGTCGCCTCGGACGGCAAGGGCGTCGACCAGAACGTCAAGTTCAGCATGAACCCATTTGACGAGATCGCAGTCGAGGAGGCCGTGCGCCTGCGCGAGAAGCACAAGGACGCCATCACCAAGATTGTAAGTGGCTTCTTCGACGAGAGAGGTCCCATAGGTCTCTGGGCTCCTGTACTGAAATTGCTCTTGCTTTGATGCTGTTGCGCTACAGACTGTCGTCTCGGTCGGCCCGCCCAAGACCGCCGATGTTCTGCGTACTGCGCTCGCAATGGGCGCCGACGATGCGATCCATGTCGAGGTGCCCGACAAGGGAGCAGCGCCACTCGAGCCCCTGGGCGTGTCCAAGATCCTGAACGAGATCGTCAAGAAGGCAGGCGAGGAGGAGGAGGTCGGCCTCATCATCATGGGCAAGCAAGCGATCGACGATGATGCCTCGCAGACGGGTCAGATGCTCGCTGGTCTGCTCAACTGGCCGCAAGCGACATACGCGAGCAAGCTCGAGTTCTCGGGCAAGCCCGAGAAGGGCGCAGAGGCACAGATCACGCGCGAGATCGACGGCGGTCTCGGCATCGTCAAGACCAAGCTGCCCTTTGTCATGACCACCGACCTTCGACTGAACGGTAAGTGCATCCCAAAGTGATGCGCATCGCAGCTTCTTCGTTGTTACTGACCTCACCACTGTACCCGCTCCTGACGCAACAGAGCCACGATATGCCTCTTTGCCCAACATCATGAAGGCCAAGAAGAAGCCTTTCAAGAAGATGACGCTCAAGGACCTTGGCCTCGAGGACCAGGTCAAGCCTCGCCAGGAGATCCTCAAGGTGGCCGAGCCACCCAAGCGCGAGGGCGGTGCCAAGGTATGTAGCGCGCCACGATGCGGGTATGTGCGCTTTCTTCTGACACGAGCTGACGAGTCATCCTATGCTTTGATTGCAACAGGTGGAGAACGTCGACGAGCTCATCTCGAAGCTCAAGGAGGCTGGCCGCATTTAAGGTTGCTATCAAAGCTCAGCCGCAACCGTGCGAGACCGGGCATGAGCTGTCTCCACACATTCCAGCAGCGTAATGCAGCGTGCTGGGAAGGCCTGCTGCTGTCTGGCCCGCATCTGACTGTCGAATCTAGATCTGCGCGTACTCCGCAAAACTGTTTCCAACCCCGTTTTCGCGCCCTAAATCCCGCACTGTTCTAAGATTACCGACTCTTGAGAGACCGTCCCGACCAGACATAGTCATGAAAGCGTGACGGTGGGACTGTGCCCAGCATAGCGGCACGGCACACTACCGCGGCGGGTGTTGTGTGTGGAGCGGGAAGGCAGGCTGCCCACACGGCTTGGCCAGGGCGTGGGGCGTGGGCAGAGTCATATGCGAATTGAGTGAGCCGAGTCAGAGGGTTGCGAAATTAGCCGTGTGCGAAAGCGCGGTGATGGCACCCAATCTCCGCCCTCCGCCCTCTGTGTCGCTGCAGCCCGTCTTTTTTGAGAAGAACGGCCGCTGCTGCAGAATCAGCTCGGCTTTGACTGGACTGACCAACTGGCAAGCTGTCACATCGTCACCTTGCTTCATCTGACCGTGCCCACCACTCTTTCGCTTCAACCATTCACACCGCACCGCGGCAACCTCTTTCATCTGCGCATTCACACGGCGAGCTGAACTTTTTCATCTATACCCTCGTCGTACTCCGGCCCACCCGACCGGCCTGGCATCCAGCAGGATATATCTCGCCCCTCTTTTCGACTCTCAGGCTCCCCCACCCACATTCGCACCACCATGTCGAAACCGACGCCTGCAAACGGGGCTTCGCACCACACGGCAGAGACGTTCCGACCGCTGCTTAAGGCTCTCTCGCTCGCGGCGTCAGTCAACGCGCAATCCGGTGAACCAAATCACCCCACGGGTACCTCTACTATCTCGCACACCCAGCTCGAGCACATCCTTCAGCACCTAGCTGACCCCAACTTCACCTCGTCGCGCGAGAACCATGCGCAGATCGGCTCGGCCTTGACGTGCCTCAAGTTCTGCCGCCTCGACATCCAGGCAGAGACATTCGCGCTTGCTGCCAAGATCTTCCTTGACTGCTGCCTCGACGTCTACGTTCCGCCGCTCGACAAGGAGAACGAAGAGTATGCGCCATCGGCATCCACAGCGAAACCGGTCGAGTACCGCGGCACCCTTGATCTCGTCGGCACCGGAGGCGATGGCAAGGACACGTTCAACGTCTCCACCACCGCCGCCATGGTCGCTGCGGGTGTCAAGGGCGTGCGCGTTTGCAAGCACGGCGCCAAAGCCTCCTCGTCCACATCGGGCTCGGCGGACTTGCTCATGTCGCTCGGCATCCCACTCCTTTCCCTACCAGCTTCGCAGCTCCCCTCGGTCCTGCGCAAGTCCAAGTTCTCCTTCCTTTTTGCGCAGCTCTACCACCCGGCACTCGCTCCGCTCGGTCCCATTCGAAGATCGCTCGGATTCCCCACGATCTTCAACGTGCTCGGCCCGCTCATCAACCCCGCCAAGCCCGAGCGCTGCATCCTCGGTGTGCACAGCTACTACCTCGGCCGCATCTTTGCCGAGGCACTGGCCAAGCGCGGCACGCAGCGTGCCTGGATCGTGTGTGGCCAGGAAGGACTCGACGAGATCAGCCCGGCGGGCAAGACCGACGTCTGGGAGCTGAACAACGGCCAGATCAGCGAATTCACCGTCGATCCGAGCGATTTCGGCATTCCGAGCCATCCGCTCGAACACGTCGGATCGTACTCGGCGGACGAGAATGCGGCGATCGTGCTCAAGATGTTCTCGACCAAGGATGTGGCCACGCTGCCGGCGGAGCCGCTGGCGCAGAGCGTGCCCGTGGATCCTGCGGCGTTCCTGGACTTTGCGCCCGAAACGCTCGTGCACGTGCGCTCGCTGCCCTCGATCCCGCGCGGCGTGCGACTGCAGGCGGTCAAGGACTACACTCTGCTGCAGACGGCAGCGCTTCTGTACGTCGGCTCGTACGCGGATACGCTCAAGCAGGCCACCGCGCTCGCCAAGCAGAGCATCGAGTCCGGAGGCGCGCTCAGGGCCATGGAGACGTTCCGCGACGAGTCGAACCTCAGCATCGCGCGCAACGAGCTCGACCAGCTCGAACGCGCCAAATCGCCCCAGCAGAAGGACGCCGTCAAGGACGCACGCAAGTCGATCGAAGAGAGCGTCCGCAATCAGGACCAGTACTCCTACCTCCCCGAAATCAGGCAGGATGCAGCCGTCGGTACAGACGACTAGCCCGCTCCCAAACTCTGTGTTGCTTCATCGTTCATTGAATGGCATTTGAATCTTCTCTGTCGAACCTGAAAGTTGGGTGCCTGCATTTAGAAAGGAGCGTAGTCGGCGGGGGCGGCGATCTTCTCTGCCCTTTCGAGATGGGCGGCCCAGAGGGGCCAGTTGAGGCCGTCCTTGCCGACGAGACGCAGCTCGAGCGCTTTCATCTTCTCGACCTCTTTGATCGAGTCGGGGGTGCCTGCGCCCAGCTCCTTCTTGAGTTTCTGCGCGGCTTGGAGGGCGAGGGCGGGGCGGTTGTGCAGGATGCACCAGCGCACGTACAGCTCCACGTACTCCTTGGCCTTGGAGTCGGGCGCAAAGTACTCGCGGTACTGCTTCCAGACCTTTTCGAGCTCGTCGTGTGCCGCGGCGGATTCTTCCGCCTCGGTCATCAGCACACGTGCCTTGCGGTTGAGCGCGAGGACGAGAGCCTTCTTCTTTTCCTCCATCGCCTTGTTCGCCTTCTTCTCCTCGTCCGTCTGCTCCGAGGCCGACGGCTTCTGAGTCGCCATGCACAGCTTGACTTGCGTCTCGTCGATCTGTGCAAGCACCTGATCAGCGGCGGTGATGACCTGCTGACGCTTGGTGGCATCCTTGTCATCCGCATCAAGAGCCTCGAGCTTAGCAACGAGTGCTCCGAGGAATTTGGGGTAGTCCGTAATCAGCTTGTCCATGAACTCGAGCTTCTCCTTGGGGTCCTTGATCTTCTTTGCGGTTGCGGTGAGAAGCTCGGGGATCTCGTTCTCGTTCTTGCCACCAGGCGCTGCATCGTCGCTCTCGTCGCTCTTGACAGACGGAGGCACGATGTAGCGCAGCTGGCCCTTGCCCTCGGCAGCGAAGCCGAACGAACCAACAAGCACGTCGCCCGGTTGCGCCTCCTTGGGCACCGCCTCGCCCTCGAGGTTGAGGTCGAGCGTCAGCACGATGCGTTCGCCCGGGTGCAGCTTGATGCCGTTGTACTTGGCCGGCGCCGCCTCCGAGTGCAGGTCGACGTGGTTGTCGTAGAGCTTGAGCGCCGCCGACTCGGGCTTGGAGAGCTTCTGGTCGATCATGAGCGTGACGTTCTTGAGACTCTCGAGCACCTTCATGTTTTCGTTGAGGATCTGTGCCTTGAGCGCATAATCACCCTTGGGCAGGGTGATCTCCTTCTTGTAGACGTCACCAAAGTGCACGCGCTTCTTGCGCAGGTCGAATAGCTGCGTGAGCAGAGGCACGCTCGAGTCGTACAGGTGGTTGCCCAGCGCCGGGAACGAGTAGCTGAGCTTGTTGGAGTCCTCCTTGGCAGAGATGTTGTAGGTGGTGACCAGCTCGAACATATGCTTACCGCTGGGCTGCAGATCCCTGGGCGTGGTGAGCGGACGGATCTTTGACGAGGTTGGGCGGTGGAAGGTGCGTCGCGTGTCAAAGGTGACACTCGGCTTAAAGTCCTCGATGCGGACGGTCGACTGGCACTCGATCTTGGCGTGGCCCTGGCCGCCGATCAGCGTGAGCTCCTGTCGGCCGCTGGCGGGGACGAGTGCAGCAGTGACACCGTGGAACTCGATGTCCAAGTCCAGGTCGAAGGCCGACTTGTTGGACCAGAACTGCGCCGAGCAGACCTCCATGGTCATGCCTCCGCGAACATTGAACTTCTTGTTGACCGGCTCGTTTTCCTGCAGCACGAGCACGAAGGCCTTCTCGACCTCGCTCAAACGCTGAAGAGGCTCGAGCTGGACGCAGTGCAGCCAGAAGCGCGCACTGGTACCAGGAGATGAGTGATTGGAGCTGCGCACCGTGAGCGAAGCCCACGTGGCACCCTCGGGAACGTGCACGAAGCGCCTCTCGATCTTTCCGGCCTCGAATCGGACGGTTTCGAACTTGACCGTCGGCGAGGGGAATAGCTCAGGCTTGGCAACGGTGACGGGAACATCGAAGAGCTTGTGGCCGGGTGTTTCAGCGTCGTAGGCCTCGATCCAGGCATGGTGGAGGCCGGGTGGCAGATTGGTGGGGTCAACGCGCACTTCAAACGTGCGTCCGTTGCCACCGAGCAGCAAGAACTCAGGTACTTGGACCCAGGGCTGTGTGGCAGCAAGCGCGCACCTCAGCTCGAGGTTGAAGGCTTTCTCGGTCTCGCCCTGCTTGAAGGTAGGACGGACGGTGATGTTGGTCTGCTGTACGTTGTAGGTCTCGTCCTTCTCACGGAGGTAGATGCCGCGCTTGTCCATGCGTCCGAGGGGCTTGCCGGCGCGGGTGACCGCGACTCGGTACTCGGCGTCCTGCTCGACGCGGTCCTTGTTCTGCACGAGGTAGTCCCAAGCGGCATCGACGCGGATGAAGGGCACACCGAGGGGGTCGTTGACGTCCTTGCCGGTGACACGGACGGCATTGAAGACTCGCGCCGGGGTGATGGGGATGTTCTCGGCCTTGAGGCCGGAGAGGAGCAGAGCGATGGCACCGCAGGCGTTGGGCGAGCTCATGGAAGTGCCGTTCATGAGCTGGGAGGACTGGAGGCAGTAGCGAGGGATGGAAGTGATGGCAGCGCCGGGGGCGTAGATGGACACGCCGCGGTCACCGTCCGAGGTGGGACCACGGCTGCACCATGTGGTGACGCTGTCCGGCACGCCCTTTTCGACGAGGGCATACTCGGCCTTTTGCATGGCGCCGGCGTTGACGTAGGCGCCGACGCTGAGGACGGAGGAGGTCGTGCCTCCGGGCTGGCCGACGGTGGTGAGAGCAGGGCCGTTGTTGCCTGCGCTGCTGACAAAAAGGATGTCGCGCTGACGGATGACAAGGTCGCGGAGAGCTTTGGCGAAGGCGCCCTTGTCCTCGGCACCGAATGCGCCGTCTTCGCCGTAACTGAGGTTGGCGATGTCGCACCTTGTGTCGATGAGAGCCTGTGCGGAGCGAAGCATGGCTTGACCCTGCTCCATGCTGCCGAGACGGGCATCGCCGATCTTGAGGCTGACGATCTCGCAGCCGGGAGCCACGCCGTTGAGATCTGGCTGTTCGTCGTGACGAGCACCGACGATGCCGGCGACGTGGGTGCCGTGGCTGCCGGCGAGGGTGACGAGGCTGAGGAGGTTGCCGTTGTCCTCAATGTTGACGGTGTAGGTGAGGAGGTCCTGCTGACCGAAGCTTTGCCATTGGTGGTCGATGCGGAAGTCGGTGATGGGCTCGACGGCAGAGAGGTCGAGAGTTTGGGAGTCAAGCGGCTTGAGCAAGTCCTCTGGCTGGCCACGAGCCGGATCGTGCGTTTGACCCTCACCACCGCCGACGACAGCGTACCAGTTCTTGCCATTGTGGAAGACGATGACCTCGATCAAGGGGCCGTCGTCACTGTAGGAAGCGGCGAGGTCCTTGAGCGTCTGAATTCGGGCCTTGAGCTCGTCCTTTTGCAACTTGACATTCTCGGCGGGAGAGGTCTTGTCGGAGGATGACGGCGAGGCATCAGCAGATGCTGGTGATTTCGAGGCTGCGGGACTTTCGAGAGCGTTGAGGTCCGCTTGTGCCTGGCAGAGGAGAGCCTGGTGGGAGACGAGGAATGCTTTCTGTCGTTCTGCGGAGCGACGGTTCTTGAGCTCGCCGGGCCAGAGGTCGTAAGCTCGCTTGAAGCCGATCTTCCACTCGCCCTTGGGGTTGGTGAGCTTGGAAGAGACACGGATGGTCCTGCCGGTGAAGGGGGACTTGAAGTCGATGTGCGCGCCGGCCGAAGGGGAGATGGGCTGAATGGGCTGGAGCGGGATGTCACCGGCACCGGTGCAGTCGATCACATCGACGACTTTGCCCTTGTGGTTGAGGCCGATGGCGGCAGGGTCTACGCCGGTGTCGAGGACGGCGACGCGGACATTGCGGCCGTCGTATTGGGGATACTTGCGGAGGAAGTTGATGGCCTCTGTGGTGTCCTTGGGGAGGAGACCCGCGAGCGGGAAAGGCTCGGAGGGGATTGCCTGGGAAGAGGGCATGGCGGAGACCGTAGCGTCCGAGGCGGTGGATGCACGCGCAAAGGACGGCGTCGTGGCGAAGGAGCGGCGGGCAGGAGTGCTCGAGTGTGACGGGTGCGGATAAAACGAGCGGGCTGCCACTGTCGCGATTGAGGAGCGGTTCGGAGATGCGATGCGGGCCTGGTCACGGAGCAGACGTGGAAGGCCAAGGCTGCGTGGCAGTCGGAACATGCCCCGATTGTGCAGGTCTAAGGTCTAAGCTCTGACTAAGGTCGAGGATGGTGGTGGTGGTCAAGCAGCAGGGAGCCGGACGCACGACAAGTGCGCTAAGTTAGTGCCACGCCAGTCCAACACCAACCAAGCTCGGCTCTTGCCCGAAGGCTGAGGCGAAGGCGCCCCTGCGCACGGCAACTGCGAATGGCCGGGGCGTCGTCAGACGATCGCGCTATTTTTTAAAATGTTACATCTGCAGCTGCTACATCTTCAAGAAAAAAGCAGATTCTCGGGACTCGCAACACCAGAGGTCAACGGGCGCCCTCCGCACACGCTACGAAATTTCTCCCGCGAAGTTTTCGAGACTTTTTTTGGGCGGTGAGCCGCAGGTCAGTCTCAAAAAGAGCAGAGAACCCTCTTCCTCAGCTCCGTGGCGGGCAAGATTTTTCGTTGCGCCTTTTGGGTCCCAACACTCCACTCTGCTGCCCAGCCTCTCACAAGCTTCTCTTCCAACCAGCATTGGTATCTGCACGCCTCTCATCACCACCGAGATGCCACCTAAAAGGTATTTCGAGCAGGACGAGCCTGCCGCAGAGGGCGCTGCTCCTGCTCCTGCGCCAGCTGCCGCGACAGCCACAGCCACAGCCGCTGCTGCTGATGCTATTCCATCGACCAAATCGAAGGAAAAGGGCAAGGATAGGCCCAACGCCACCCTCTTCGTTTCCAGATTGCCCTACACCGCCACCACAACCGATCTCCAGACGCTCTTCAGTGAGATCGGACCGCTCAAGCGGGCCTTCGTCGTCACAGACCAGGCCACAAAGAAGTCCAAGGGTGTCGGATACGTCACCTTTGCCATCCCCGAAGACGCCCAGACCGCACTCGATCAGCTTCAGGAAAAGTCGCTCGACGGTGGTAGCAGAAAGATTCACATCACCTTTGCCGACCAGAAGGATCCCACCGGCAACAAGCGCACCCCTGTCAAAGCCGACCAGGACTCGCCGTCCTCCTCCAAACGTCCGCGCACCGAATCGAGCAAGCCAGCACGCCAGGCCGGTGCCTTCCAGGAGAAGGATGCACACGCCGTTCGCACCGTCATCCTTTCCGGTCTCTCTGGCTGCAAGCCCGTACCCGACTCCAAGCAGATCTACAAGCGAGCTCGAAAGATCGGCGATGTCGAAACCGTCATCTACCCCCACCCTTCCTCGCCCAACCCCAATGATGCCGCCCACGTCGTCTTCCGCACGCCCAACCACGCCATGACCGCCGTCGAGAAGCTCCACGCCCACGTCTTCAAGGGTGTTCAGATCAGCGCCATCCTCAAGAAGCGCGCGGACAACGCCGCCAGGATCGCCGCCCACATGCGTCCCGAGACGCTCGCAAAGCGCGAAAAGATGCGCCAGGAGGTCGAGAAGAACAGCGGAAAGGGCACCATGCCCGTCCTCCTCTCCGAGATCGACAAGTCCAGCAGGCTCATCATCCGCAACCTGCCCTTCGACGTCAACGAGGCCGACCTCCGCTCCATCTTCCTCCCCTTTGGCCCCGTCTACGAGATCACCATCCCCAAGGTAAAGGCAAAGCAGCAGCCAGACGAAGCCAAGCCGGATTCCAACGCTAAGCAGAAGGAGACAGCTTTCGTCAAACAAGATGACTCGGAAGACTCGGCCGACTCTGAGTCGTCGGACGACAGCGATTCCGACGGCGAAGATGCGGAGGAAGGTGACGAGGATGCGGAGGACCGCTCGGAAAGCGACAGCGAGCAGGACGACGGGGCGAACGACGACGATGCCAAGGAGGATGGCAGCAAGTCCTCGTCTGAATCCGAGGACGAAGCTCCTGCGGACGAGGCCGACGCTGAGGCAGACTCCAACAAGCAAGCGTCCACATCTGCCAAGCCTGCTACCGTCCCTGCTGCGACCAAGCCGGCTGCCGCCGAAAAGGGTCGTGGCTTTGCTTTCGTCTGGATGGTCTCGCGCAACGATGCCGCGCGCGCCATCGAGGCAGTCAACGGCAGCAAGATCCAACACGGCGCCGCCGAGCGTGCCGCCTACAAGTCTGCGCTGGGCTCGCGTGGTCGACGCGCCGCCAAAGCTGCGCTGGACCACGTCCGCGCAAACGCCCAGCCCGAGCGAACCGTTGCTGTCGACTGGGCGCTCAGTAAGAAGGACTGGGAGGCCAAAGCCGACGAGTCCGAGCCCGAGCAAGACGACAAGGCCAACGACGATGCCGACGATGCCGACGATGCCGA